TTCAAGGGACCAAAGACATGGAAATCGGAGACGATTAATGATGCCAATTTGACACCTTCCACTGTCAGAAATCGGATAACTCCTCGTTGCTCCTCAGTCGAATTTTCCTATGTACGTGCCGCTCTGTCCTCATATGCACTGCTCCGTCAATTGAACGGCACTCTTTATAAGCACCTTTGCTCTCTCTTGCGCATTCAAGCACCCCCGCATGCTCTGATCTATGGCAGAAACTTTGACCGCATCCTTAGAAGTTTCACTACGTTCTCCATAGCAAAATAGGCATGTCAACTGTCATGTCGTTACAACATTCATACTTTTTCATTTGAACGCCTCTTGTACATCAAAGCAATGCTGAGTGGCTCTTTGCATTGCAGCTCTTTGCAGTGCTTCATGCACAATCAGGTAATATGAAAAAACAATTTCTCTTCATTTAATCTGGTGAACATGGCAGTATTGAAATGTAGAAAATGCATAACTAGACTTTTACGGAGCGTGGAACCAATATTACAACATTTTAGTATGGAACTCATAATATCTCCTCTACAAGTTCTATTTGTCAGAATAAACAATTCAGAGTAGTCTGTTAAGTGCACTAAATAAAGATTTACAATTAAAGTACCATAAGACACAAAAAGAACAACGATTGTGAGTATATTTCAGAATGATTCTACGGCACGATATCTTGAGCAGTGAGTTTACAAGACAGATAGCTTCTACTGAATAATTGAGTCAATATTAAGAATAGTTGGTTTTAACGATCTATATGAAAATTTGTTCATAATTCAGCTAGGTTTTAATCCCTTCATAATATGAGTAGACTTCCCTCCTACAATGACTACAACACTGTACTAAGGACTACAACACTGTACTATGTTATAGCACAGCTCTGCTTATTAATGAAGAAAAAAGATAATTCTGAGGGCTCATTTTTATTAATGAGAAATAAGCTCTGCTTAATGTAATGAAAAAGTAGGTCTTTAACACTGACATAATTTGCGTTTTCATGTTTTTCATGCTTTTTTTTATAGCATTCAAGGTCATCTGGTCAGATCTGGTCGTGTTTCACTGTGTATGCGTACTGAATGCATGATACTTCTTGGACGTATTTCGGCTGCAACACATGTGACTCATAAAATCCCAAACCCTTGTACAAAATAATAATAGGGACAGCCCTTAAATTTTCATTTATTTCCTTCAAACGTTTTTACAGTTACATACATTGCCATTGACACCAGTGCCTCGCCTTTTGCGCAAATCTAAATTTTCATATTTTACAGAACCAACAGTAAATAATTTTCATTTACACCACAGTGCATGCTGGAACACTTGAAATAAACTTTAAAGACGAAGATGGGCCATCAAAAATATTCAACAAAAAATTTTATACAAATATTTTCCATGAACCCACTCAATCTCACTGCAGCTACCAACACTAGGAACCAGTAAGAAGAAATGGTGCCAATAGAATATTTTCAGTGTATAGCGGAAGTATACAAAATTACAATTGATAACACAAAAGATTTACTTGGCTGTATGTAAGACACATCAACAACTTGCACATTACTTGATATATATTGTAACGGTTATTAGCCGTAAGAACAACAGAGCAGGAAGAAGCCAGCATCTCGACAGGCGGCAACATGTTCCGGACAGCGTAGGCGTAACTACGACGGTTCAGCGAAGAGCTCGGCGAAGGTGACGGAGAACGGGATCGACGATAGAGAGCAGATGGCTGCGCTTGCGGGTGCGCGCTGTGACGTCGGGTGTCGAAATGAGGTCGTGAAAAAGTCGGCGCTTAAGTTGGGTATCTTTGTAAACATGTCCAGCTTCTCCGCAATTGAAACACGGTAGATGGCGGTCAACAGTGCGCCACAGATCCGTCTTGCGAACGGATGGTCGACTGGTAGGCACCCTCGGCGACCAAGTTGCAGGTGTTGGCGGAGGGTAGACCGGCAGGTAGAACGGAGTGTCAGCAGGTGCGTTATATTGCGGAGTCGTCGTCGTTGGTGGCGGTGGCGGCAGTGGTGGGTTGTAGACTGGTGCCACCGGCGCGTTGTAAGAATGAGCCAGTGCAGATGAGTTGTGCGGCACTGGCGACGGACGATGGGTGGCTGCCGCATAGTTAATAGATCGCTGGAACGGTAGTGATTCAGGCTGCGAAAATGCTTGCCTGATTTCCTGCCGCACAACTTCTCCAACTAAAGCCATCGCCCGTTCTTGCAGAGTCACAAGGAAGCTGCGGATCTCACGAACAACCTCGCGAATAAGCTCTTGCACAGAACCGCCACTGCCGGCCGTCAGAGCAGAGACGCTGATTGAGGCGCCGCTTGGTCGGTCGTAATAGCGACAACGTTGCTGCAGTGCTCGATCGATAGCTGTAGCCTCTGATGAATTCCGCAATGGTCGTTGGTGGATTTCGGAGAAGGCTGGCAAACAGCTGTTCTTTGACACCTCGCATCAAATGGCGGAGTTTCTTGGCTTCAGGCATGTCAGGGTCAGCCCGTCGAAATAGGCGGATCATGTTCTCCGTAAACATGGCGACACTCTCATTCGGTTTCTGGACCCGAGACTTGATGAGTTGCGGAACAAAGTCACAGCGGTCGTTGTTTGCGAAGGTGCTGAGAATTTGCTGCCGAAACTCATCCCATGAAGACAGCGTTGCCTCGTAATTCTCATACCACGTACGAGCGCTGTCTGCTAAAGCAAAGTAGGCGCTTTAGCTTGGTGCTCCAGCGGTTTGCCTTGGCGACTCACTCATACTGGGCTAACCAGTCCTCAACGTCTTCATACGCCTCACCATGAAATGTCTCCTGAATCTGAGGCGGCTCAAAAGTCAGCTGGGAAGCACCTGCAGTTGCCATTTCTCCAGGCGGAGTGCTTTGCTGGGAAAGTTCCAGGGGAATCGCCTCAGGACTAAGGCCTCGCTGTCGACGACTGTAGCGGTGGACAGGGGTATCCACTGAAGGAACGGGTTGCGGTGTCCACAATTGAGGACACAAGGCCTTGTTTCGGCATGAACAAACAGCAAGGCTCTATTCGCACACAAGAACAAAACGCAAGAGCAGACGCGCAACGTCGTCTTCCTCGAAAAACGCCAGAGACTGCCACTCGTGATGCTGGCTTCTTCCTCCTCTGTTGTGCTTACGGCTAATAACCATGACATTATGACACATGGATTCTACAGAAGATTCAGTTAGCTTTCCAGACAGTCGTACCTTTAAATAAGAACCCCAAAAATGAATTATAATACTGATGACTAAAAGGTTTTTTTTTTTTTTTACATGTTGCTAGATGCGGCGAGTGCTCTCTACAACTACGAAACCTAACAGATGGCCTTCCTGGCCATATATTTCTTGCGTTCAACTGAAGGGTGCCATGTATGCACGACGTCACAGAAAATCTATTGTTTGCGCTTTGGAGACTGGCTAAATTTTTTAGCTTCGGCAATTATCCAGCAAAATAAAAACAGAAACCTCAATATATGTGTGCATGTTACTACCAAGATAGCCTAACTGTCATTACAGCTGGCTAGAAAAATTATAAACAAACCTAAGGTTGTTGTTAAGCCAAGTTTCGCAACACAAGTTTCTCAAGTGTGCGTCATCGCAGGAGATACCAGTGGTGACGGTTGATGACCACCAACAAGCAATTCTGGTAGACTCTTGACCTATTGTACTAAGCAGGAATATAACAGCTGCTGCTAAGAACAGAGGTAGCCATATTAATTACGCAGTTCCTTGTAGTTCCGGTAAAAAATATCACAAACTTAAACAAGGGACACTAGGAGGAATATCAAGTTTAGCTGATTTAATAAATTGTATAACAGTAAAATGGTCACTCCTTAATTCAAAGATGGATTAGTAGGCTGAAACAAATGCAAACCAGCTCAATATGATGCAACCGATTTGGACACTGATCAGCAAAATTAGCATTACTTTCAAATGAATCAGAGGCCCAAGCTGACAAATGCAGAAAGTTTTTCCACATCAAAAACAGTTCAAATAAGAAACACACTGAAAGTTATAATATTGCACTGATGTGCTGGCACTGGTGCTTCAGCCCTTACCTATTTAAAAAGAAAAATCTAGTTTTGGAAGCTTCTCTGAATTCAGTTTTGAAAAACTACACAGCCACTCTAAACAAATTGTGTTGCTCTTTGGCGTCCTAAAACGGCATTATTAAATAGTATGTATAATCTGTGATTCTTGGCATACCTGTACAGTCATGCAAATGCAAGTTCACATGCAACTACAAACTGCGGTCAACATAGAAGGTTGATTTTTTTTTTGCGAAAATGTGAAAAGAGGGGAATGTTACTGTACTGCTTGGGTGGTGGGGGTGCCAGCTACCAGAGCAACAGTCACCTTCGAGCAATCGTGGAGTGTAGACAGAGTTTAATTTGAACCCCATTTATAGTGCTTTCTCACCCTAGGAATATATCATTTGCCAGAGCAGCATTGCACAGTGAGGTTCAGCATCAGGCTGAGCAAAACAGAGTGAGACCCATGCCATGATCAAGACTGTTTATAGTAGTAATGTCACAAGCCGATCAAGTGTTTCTGTGTAGAACAAATTGTATGGGGTGGAAGAAAGCAAGCCGAAGATGAGCAATAATCAGGATGCCCATCAACGGCCAAAAGTCCTGACAATGCGCTGAGCCACACCTCCTTCACCGTCATGGACTTTCTGCCCAAACATTGCAACACACAGCTTCTAGAGGCACCCTGCAGCCCAAATTTTTCTAGTTCAAGTCTCTATCCCTTGCCCTTACTGAAAAAGGTCCTCAAAGGACAGCACCATGCCTCTGTCCAGGCCATTCATGTGGCCCTATTGAGGAAGCTGAAGAGTGTTCCAGTTTCTAAATTACAGGAACCCTGTAGCAATTTACATAGTCTCTGGAAACGATTGTGTTGATGTACAATGGGCATAATTTCAAAAAAATATATTTAGTTAATGGGTCTAAATTATCTAAAAATCTCAAAAAAATTCAGTCATACTACTTTCCAGACAAATGCTGTTTTCACAACTTAATGATTTACTTGCAAAATGTGTTTACTCTCAAATTTCAAGGTGCACTTCTGGGCTTTCATAACATATATTGTACACATATTTTTCTAGCTTTAACCTGCCCACCATACAAAGGACAGCAACAATCTTTTTTACTATGACAACATTGCCACCACAGTTACAGCTTTATTGTCCAGCCCAATAAATTATTACATTCTGCAAACACCTTTTTTTGGTCACCAAGCATGCGGTCTTGTTCAAAATACAAGTTTCTGTGGTATGACAATGCAATTTGGCGACTTGAACAACGTATTTTTTTTACAGTGGACACAACAAACAAGACATAGGTTCACCAAAACATAAATAAATAAATTACGTTCCAAAGCTCACGACAATGAAGAGTTTACTTCAAACAAGGACAAAAGATGTACGAAAAGGTGCTAATATATACATAAACTTGTTCTACAAAACCAACGTTTTTAATCACTTTTATAGAATCAATCCATATACCACTGACCTTCATGATAAATTGTGCTTTAAATATAATCAATTATACAAAACAAGGCAACAGTCATTTTTGAAGTTAAATTACATATAGACAGCTGCCTTTTATTACACCATGTAGTTACTATCTACAGGCTGCTGCTTACAAAAGAAATCAATGCCAATACAAGTTCTCAATGCAATGCTTACAATGCCATAACAGTCTGAATTTATTTCAGGTCTCGTGGCATATAAAATACAGAAACAATCTGAAAGCTTTAATATGACTGCTTTATTTTAGTTTATTCTCACAGTAAGTCACAAATGCAATAAGCAAACTTCTTCAATCATATGAGCTGCAAAACTTTTTATAGGCCCTGAGTATTAAAATTCAAACTCGCCACGGGGCAAAATAACCAGGGTCTGCTGATTGTCGAGTAATCTGTTAACCAAAAAATTTAACTAATAAATGCTCGTGACACCAGTGACACCAGCGCTGTATATGCCATTGAGCAGCTTATGAGCACACACAGAGGAGGCGATCTTGTGTTTTATATTGCTGGTCCCAGGTGTTACAACAATCAGCAGGCCCCCGCGTAATCAGCGATGGGCATGTCCAATTTTCAGCATGTCCAGTTTCATAACGGGTAACTTGGTTCAACAGGCATTCATGTAGCTACCTCTTTGTACGAGTGCACAGACTGCATTCAAGCAGCCCAAATATGAAATGTCAACCCAGTAAACTGAGAAAGATAGCAGGTCATTATTTTCCAGAATAAATTGCTCAGTCGATTTATACAAAATGCCATAAGAATACTGATGAAAAATCCATAAACAAGCTGACGTTTCGACAAGAGGACTTGTCTTCCTCAAGGCTAGAACAGAACTGATTTCTTTACGCTTCGTACCATCTCCTCCATCTTAACAAGGGGGGGGGGGGGGGGGCAACATGGATACATGGGTGTGAAAGAGCAGGGGAGGGAAGGGGGCTATGACAAATTGTACAAGTGAAGAAGGAACAGGTATTCTATGAATAAGAAGACAATAAGGAAGCGGTGGGGGAGGTGAAGATGCAAACGTGTAGCGGAGTCCCGGTTGTCGAACCGGTATTCAGAAGTTAACAATGGCAGGTTTGAAATTTTTAGACGAAGGGCTTAACTCGCAATTTTTTCTTTGTGTGTGTACCATACTGAATGAATTCAAAAGTCCTTTTAGAAATGTTTATACCTACTGGCTGGATTGTATTGAACTTGTGAATAAAGTACGACTCTGTATATCTTCAGTCTCTTGCGGACCAGAAGTTTGACTGAAGGATGTAGAGTTGGAGGTCGTCAAACTTGTGTCCTGCTACATTAAAATGCTGTGCCACTACTTTAGGTAATTGCTTTGCCGTGTCTGTACGATGACTGTTTAATATAACATTAACTGGCTGTCCTGTTTCACTAATGTACTGTTTATGACAACATGAACATTTCATCATGTAGATAATGTTTTCACTAGTGCAGGTAAAACTAGATTTCATACTAAAGACATAATCACTGCCAGTGCTTTTAACTATCATGGCATCTCGAAGGTGTTTGCTAGTCTAGATGGGAGCAAGGTGTCACCTGGGCAGTAGAATGAGTTTACTTTTGCATGCACTAACATGCTTTTAAAATTCCTATCTCAACTCTACATTCCTCAGTCAAACTTCCTGTCCACAAGAGACAGAAAATATAAAGAGTTGTACCTTATTCACAAATTCAATTAACTCCAGCCAGTAGGTATAAACGTTTCTAAAGAGCCTCTTGAATCCATTCGGTATGGTACATACACAAAGAAAACCACTGCAAATTAAGCCCTCCGTCTAGGAATTTCAAATCTGCCATTGTTAACTTCTAACAACCGGGACTCCGCGACATTTGTACATCCTCACCTTCTCGCTGTTTCCTCATTTTCTTTTTATTCACAAGATACATGTTCCTTATTTGCTATTACAATTTGTCACAGAGGAGAGGGTACACAGCATAGACATGCTAACACTAAGGAAATCAGTTCTGTTCTAGCCTTGAGAAAGACAAGTCCACTAGTCCAAACGTCGGCTCGACACAACCCCTGTTTACAGAGTTTTCATAGCAAGCTTCCGTCTCCCCCTTCCTACAGTTAAAAGAATACCGAGTAGCTTTGAAAGATGCGCTCATTGAAGTGTCAGTGACACGTTAGCTTCTTTTAACAAACCTCGTATATTATATATACATAGTGCCCATAAGCAATTTTTCGATACGTTGCGAGATCGTGGGGCAGTAAATTTATTCTTCAGAGTTCACGGGCTTCCTCCTAAATCCTCATTTATACCAATATCACTACGCCTTAATCATTGTCAGTTACCACTGCTTAATTTATCAGATGCTACACTAAGTGTAGACTAGGATTCACAACTGCGAGCAACACATAGTTCATTAAGCTTCCGTAAAGGGTCCAAATACTTTTCACCAACACATACAGACATTTCAATAGTACAAATTCTTACATAGCTTTCCATACTACACTCAATATCTACCACCAGAAGTAAAAGTTTTACCAATAATGCACCACAATGGCATATTATCCGAGTCTTGGCTAGCAAAAAAAAAAAAAATGGCCATGATGCTATAAACATTATGTATACTTTTCCACAAGAATGATTCATGAGAGCGTCAACCGAGATAATGGTCAATGCCATGTCATGGAGCCCAGCCATGAAAGTTGAGACCGCAGGCACAACGATGACGAACATACTATTGTAATAGGCTTTTCCATCCAGCTCCACGTAGATCCTGCCACTTACATACTTCTGACGTAACCAGATATGTACGCATTTGTTCCTGCACACACAATGGTTCAATGCAGTAGCAATGCCAGGTTTATTCTTAAAGCCTAACAGGTGCTCAGACACAAGAACACAAAGTGTGCATGAGCCCTTTCTAGCTACTTTCATTGGCGACTCTGTGGCATGGTGCTTACCAATGCTCTAGTGAAATTATGAAAATATTAAAGAGCTGTACAGCTAGGACCCATAACCAACCACCACCATCCTTCTTGCACAACTTGCATATGCAACACACCTAGCATGTTAGGGAAAAGTTAACATTACTAGGGACACTGCAATACTTTGGGAGGTAGTTCAAATTGTTCAAGAGCTCGACAGTAGACAACACCATAGAATCAAGAGCACACAGCAAACAGCTGCACTGTGAAGATGGTGAGTAAAAAATGCTGTTTCACTGCTAAGTTTCGTCATTCAGGTGGCGTTCGTGACCAGAAAGTTGTCATGGCGTAACATAAGCATAGCAGTAATGCTTAAAGGGACACTAAAGTCAAATAACAATTTACACCAGAGTGAAAGCTCAAGAACATCTAAAACTACAATAATATCAACAGCAGTGCCCTATTTACTGAGAAATTAAGGTAAATACACAAGAATACATGCATTGCAGTAGTAAATTCTCAAAAACGATACCAATGACATCAGAAAAAACGCCTAAATTTAATTACTAGTAATCGATCTAGCTGCACTAAATAAAGAACCTTCCGTGCATCAAAAGATGCAATAAAATGGAGCTTGTTCTTTCCTTTCTGTTTGATTCAGGGAAAAAAGGACTGCCGGACGTTACTACAGAGAATGGCGCGAGTGGTTCAAAAATTCCATTTTCACATGGTTACACTAGACAAGTCGTGCCATCTAGCGGGGCGCAGTTGAACCAAAATAAGTCTTGCCTCTCAGAGCCGATGGCAGGAAACTGATCAATGGACGTTGTTGCTCCTGTGACTCTCACTGTTTTTGTTCTGTCTACTAGTGTCGGCTACCGCGCAGTAAAGCCGCACAACAATGTGCATGGCAACAGCGACGCGAGTCTGTCCGCTTCTTGAAGCGGGTAATTTGAAGTACGCTAACCCAATGCAGGCCACTAAAACGTGATATTATTTCAAAATAAGCCTTTCCTTGGCACAAAAGTAACACCACGAGGTTTATGAACTGCTAATTTAACAATCAATAACAACTTAATAGTTGCCTTTAGTGTCCCTTTAAAGCGGTACCGACACAGATTTCGAACGTGAAATAACTCAAGATAGACTTTTGTGGTCACACACACACATCATCTACAAAATATGAAGAGAAAAAATAGCCCCGAGCTTATGTAATAACAATTTTACAGTGTACTTTACAATTTTACACCAGTTTTATAATGCAAGATAGAGCACATTGTGTCATGAACATCCACCCAGACTTAATGTAAGCTACCAGCGATCAATTACATTACCAGTTTGCATTGGCTGTCGTGCTCCTAGAATGTGCTCTGTGCCACATTTGACAACATGGTCGTGTTTTGTGTGGTCACAGAGCCAGCAGGGTTTCTAACAGACTCCCTCGTCCTGTCTTAATCAATGCTATCTGAAACCAGAAATGTGACCAAGCACTATAAAAATGTCACCTATCAATTAACCACCATATGCAAACAAGGTCTCTAGCCATGAAAAAGTATCATTAGCTATTTATTTAGAAAAAAAAAATACACAATATTTTTGTACCAATAATCCTTTACACGTGATGCGAATATGGCAGTGACTATATACATGTGTGAACCATGACATGTTTAGATGATTCAAAGGTTCCCATGTCCGAATATCGTTTTCAGAAAAAAAATACCAGATCAGGTCTCTGGTTGCTCTGAAGACACATGGTGTGCTATGTGTATCCTGGTCAGTAATATTGTTTATGCCCTTTTGAAGAATTTCAACAGACATTACTGACTAATCTGCAAAGCATTTATACAATCTATATTTGCACCAACTGAATTTGTTAACCTTATATCCAATAATGATATTTGCACCATTCAATGTAAGGCAATTAACCAGTTTCTGCCATCACATATTGGCATACTTCATACCTACTTTGAGATTCTGAAACAATAATACTTCATAATTTTGATGTTTATGCACACTTAACACCCCAATAAAACTTCCAGCCATATTTCCCATAGTAGTGCTTAACCCAAACATAATACAAGGGCCAATTTCGGGGCTATGAAACGAAGTAACCAACATACAACACAGCGAAAAACCTTCTTTGATTGTAAAAAAAAACGCAAAATCTTTGGCAGAAATTTTCATGTGCCGAATTCTCGGAATACCTCGTAGCTATGCAGAACATTACAGTGATGTTTTACTTTGTTCTTCCATTGTAACACTCAAGTCTCTTTGTCTGTTTGTTCAGTTCCAGTTGATCGCTAACACAAATACTTTTTCATCTAGCTCCTCCACTTTAAGCACTAGCTAAGACAATGGGAGTTAGCGCAAAAGTGGTCATAATTGCCAAGACAGGTTACCACACATTAAACAACATCTACAGCCTGGCAATGCTCGTGCTTAAAATTAACCATCTAATCTGTTATGCACAAAGTAAAAGAACACATTTGAATGATCTGCAGGAAAGTCCTAGAGGACGGGAATATAGCAAACATGTTAATATTTCCAAAATAAAAAGTAAACACTAAAGCATGTCAGAAAATTGTCAATGAAGCCACCTCCAGAATAACAGCTGCATCTCTACTAACAGGTAGCAAGACCCCTTCAGTTACAGCAGCTATGACCACTGGGCATAGCTGGATTGGATGACCTATTTCTTTTGCAATGCATACCAACATATGCCAACAATCTGGGTGTAGTGTACTGATCCACATGAATGACAAAACTTGGTCAAATATATTTTACAGTGTACAAAACTGAAAGTACCGTATGAAAGTGCACAAGACGAATGGATCATATTGCAGAACCATTTATACACAATGTAATGAAAGTATTATCACTTATACGTGCTCATTACACCAGGAAATGACGGCTTCTTCCACTAAAACGCTTTTAAAAGCAATACCTCGAATGAATAAAAAATTCAACTATGCCAGAAGGAAATCCCATGGACACGCTACAAGGGGCAGAAAATAAATGTGCAACTTCCTGCTCATTTATTTTCACCGACAAATAAATTATAATGAAACAGATCTAAAAAAATTGTGAAAGTTGTTGACCTATGTTATAGATTTCGATACCATAGAATAATCAGCCTGCTGTACTTTACATTATTTCATTTACCTGCAAAAAACTAATACGCCAGTAAACACCAGACATTCCACATTATACAGAGACAGACTCGCTAAATTGATACATTAAAGTTAAAGTTATTTCCAGTCTACCTTGGTTTCCCACGAAATTGCTATTCAGGTCAACCTGAATAGCAATTCAGGTTGACCTAGGTCATTATAGAATTCAGGTCATTATAGAACATACCTTTATTTTGAAATGAACTTAAAATGTGCAACTAGTCAAACGACTTTTAAGGCATTTCCAGAGGGTCCTTGAGGTGAAGATTTTCTTGGTGAAAAGTATTTACGAAAAAACAAGGCTCCCATGTGGGACCATATTGTCAGCATATATTTTTTCACTGTGATCAGTGTCCATCAATATTTTCACTGGTGTCTCATCTAAACAAAATGAGATTTTATCGGACCCACAACCTTAAAGGGGCCCTACCACACAAATTGAGTGTGCAGTTTTTATCACTTCTTGTCATAACTGCAGAATGTGCCAATATCATTCAGCAAATAGTAACGCCAATAACAAAGCTGTTATAGTTTTATTTTAATGGAGAAACTACACTATATTCAGACTACACTGAGACACAGCGGCTATTTCTGTGATCAGAAATATTGCCTTGTGATGTGGTATAAATGTCATTACCGCGCGTTCCGAATGGTTCTACGTGAAGTCACGTGTAATACTCGCATGGTCCCAGCAAGGCCACGTTATTGTGCACAAAATAATATAAAAGCACTACTAATACTTTCTCAGACACACAGATTCAAAAGGAATTACATTTTTAAATATAAAATTTTGAAAACAATTTCAGAACGATGCTGAGGACTCTGCACAACTGCCACCTTAAGGCAAGCCTTACGGCATGGATCTGTAAGACGCGTGCAGTGATTGGAAATGACCTTTGGGATCAGCAGGAGAATGAAATGCAAAAGGGAACATTTCTTGGTGTTATCTGCTCGAGTTTTTTTAACTTTGAAGACTAATAAGATCAGTTTTCGTGCACCTATTTTCATAATTCTTTTTGCATTATACTCAGCATTCGTTGCCACACGCGTTCCAGCACTAAATTTTAATGCAGTCACAAAACTGTTGTAGGGCCTCTATGTGAAACATGAAACTTTCACTTACCAAAATAAGCTGTAATGCAGCACATAAGCTACAGGTGAACAAGTTAATGATCATGTACAGAATCATGGGCGACAGTTTTGATAAAATCACTGTTGCAATGAAAGGAGCAATTCATGCACTGTGCAGTCATTGCAAGATGTACAAACATCCAAACTTGAGGAGGCAGTTATATCTACGGTATAAATGTTGACTATGTGCAAAACAAACATTTGGCAAAAACTAAACCAGCAATTCTTTTCCAAGGAAGGATCAGCAGATGACCGACACCCGAGGAACTTGTTGCCTACAAAAATCAAATATTTGGCAATGGCCACCTCTGAATATTTGAGCTCACAGCTTTGTGCTTAGCACCTAACACTGAAACTTTTCAGGAGTGAAGCTAGAAAGAGCTTATTACTTAATGAGTGACATAAACCACCATTCTTTGTTCCTCTAGTTTATGTCAATGACTTCTTGCTTAACAGGAAGACTCTGTGTCTGATTTACTGGCGAGTGTGGCAAGCGAACAGGTGCAGCTGATCCAGTTTCCCAATTTGGCGCGCGTGGTCGTGGAGAGCCTTGTGAGTACTGTTCTCTGGTCACACGAAGATTCTGAAGAAGCTTTAGCTGAGCTTGACCAAGCTGCTGATAGTCTGTTTTTCGAAACAACAGCTTCTTGGAGTGGCTGTCATGTCGTGTTAACATGGTGCCAAATCCCAAGGCAGCCACTCTTTTAAGGAAAAGGGAGGCAAGTTGTGTGGGATAACGTAGCTTCCCAGGGACATTTGGATCAGTGACCGAGACGTACTTCATTTGTGCCACTAGTGTTGGTGTGAGCAGAGTCTTCCCACATATTAGCAGACGCCTAATTTTGTAGTGAAATTTGTCCACAAACTCCTCGTCAGAGTCCGGGATAACTGAATTGAAGGAAATAAAGGTTTCTTGTGGTTCTGACTGTGAGATATGAGAACCACTGTGCTCGCTGTCACGTGCTGGTGGCTGAACAATTGACACCGAAAGTTCACGAGGAATCGGAACAGGCACTGGAACTTGCTCACGGTTTGACTGCACCTGTACTCCAGGTGCCACACAAAATACTGATGAAACAGAAATATTGCGCACTGTTCCGTTTGTACAATGCTGAAAGCTGTTGCTTTGGTGGGATGTTCTGGGATTCTCAACAGTCTGGAACAACTCATCCTGAAGAGGACAATCTAGAAGCTCAGCTTTAATGCGCAATGTGTGCATCACTATGTCATGTGCTTCCCAAACATGTGCTGCAGGTATTTCATACTCGCGTATGTCAGGTTGAATTGCTGCACTAAGACAGCCATCCAGAACGTATAGTGCTGCAGCCAAACGAAAAATCTGACTAGTGGCAGTCTTGAAGAGAGCCACACGGCAATTCAAACTCGATGCCAGTTGCTTGAACTTGGACATCAGTTGTGGGAGAATACATCTTGCTTCCTCTGACAACTTGTACCTAACTGGTAAGCAGTGTGCTTCTGCAATGGACAGTAGTAAGCCTTTCAACCTATCTACCTCTACATCTGCTACCTGTTCATATGTACTGACCAGGTCCAGCGACCTTTCATGACCACAAGCAAGGAGAATATTAGGCCACATACATTCCTGAAATTCCACGTTATCATTGAGCTTTGATGACAAGACAGAATGAAAAGCATATGGGTCTGTGATACAACAAAGATTAAAGCGCACTTCACTCAAAAAAGGTACATCAGAAGTGACCGGGCACCACAACACAGGTACACCCAAGGCAAGCCTTTCAAACTTTCCTTTCCCAACAGATGAGAAAACAGTTTTAACTTGCTCAAAAGATGCATGTGCACCTAAAATAGGTCCAACCTGCCACAGTGTCAGCAACCTGCTGAGACTAGTGCACGATGCTTCATCCACTACAAGTGGCTTTGCTGCAATGTCTCTGGAACGCAGCTCTGAATGCAAGTCGCACAGCAGTTTCTGTAAGGTCCACACAAAATTGTGACAGCTGTGTTCCCTTGGCACCAAGACAGTAGACCACAGCACAGGATTTTCTTGCCAACCAGATGACAAACAAATTTTTGTTGATGATGAGAGACCCATAAGGTGGGATGTGGCTGTAACAAGACACAGGAGTAAAGTGTCCTCTGCTATGCCATGCTTGATGGCACAGTTGGCGAGAAACTCGTGAAGATGCAGCGAGACAATGTTGTTGGCGGGAAATGGAATAGATTGGAGTCTCCTGAAGCAGACTTCAAACTGCTGGGTGTTCAGCTGGTACTGCTGGCATTTGACCGCGCCTGAGGGGAAAGGGAGAGATCGAAAAGAGAGAGAGAGAGAGAGAGTAGGGGGTAAGAAGAAGTTGCAACACCCTCCTATCTAAACACAACAAAGTTGACGAAAACTTGAAGCGTAACAAGACACATTTACATCAAAAGCACTACAAAGGCAGTTTGTAACACGCTCAAAACAGCAGCGCTTAAAAATTTTTTTAGTCTCTCTCTCTCTCTTTTTGTTTTTCAACCTCTCCCTCGAGCTACTCAACCAATGGCGCCTAATCTATTAGTAGTGCAACTCATTTGAATGGTGCCCCGTTTGTAATTGCAAAATATTTAATACGCAAATAGCATCAATGTGTTCTAACATATTCGCTGTGGAGAAGGAGCGTGGCATCTGCCGAATCGGACCACCTAGAAAAGAGCCGACAATCGCTCAACTTCATGCGAAGGAAGTAATGCTTCCACTCACCTTGCAATTCTTTGCGTTCCTTTTTATGCGCTTGCAAAAGCTCGTCGTGAGAAAGTTGCAATTGGCCGCTCTCCGCCATGGTTCCGTGCTCTGAATCCAATGACTGTACTTTTATAAAAGGCTCGAGCAAGTGAAGCGGACCTCTCGAGGTAGGTTCGTACCAAAAAGCAGTCTAGAGTCACCAAAATGTCCGCAATCGCCTTTCGTGCACGATATTTCTTTCGGCTGCTTGAGAGGACATGTGGTCGCACGGGAGCTTTCAGCGACACATCAACAATGCGAGCCAGTAGTGCGTGCGCCCGTACTAGCTGTGGTATCAGCCAACACACATGGCAAAGTACTTACAACGTACTACTTTGCTTTGCACGATGTTGGTGGCCACGGTAACCCCCGCGAGGTTTACTAGCGCGGGTTTGCGGCCGCTGATGCCGTGGCGCCCGAAGCTAGTGCGCGCTCCCACAGGCCAGCCTCCACAGGCCTCAGCCCCAACCTTCGCGCTTGACCCCGCTAGCGCCGCCTATGCTAGAATATGCCGACTATAGTTCAAACCGAGAGGGTTTAAATAAATCTAGATGGATGGATGAGTATGGCTGTACACATTAGAATAGGCGATGGTTAGCGCCACCAAGCCGTAATACTTATTGAATCAAAAGTTAGGTTTATTTTTTTCCTTTAAATAGTAAGGTTGAGGATTCGTACTTTGCAGAGAAGAGTTTAATTTTCACTCGTGCCTTGACTTTAGCCACCAATCAGATAACCTCCTTCTAGTTAATTCTACCCACTTTAAGTCTATTTTGCCCTCACTGTCCCTAAACCCTAGTGCTTTGAAAAACTCTGCGCCATCATCCTGAACTATAGGGTGAAGCCCTTTACAAAACATTATCAAGTGTTCGGCAGTTTCTTCTTCCTCTCCACACGCACCGCATGTCGTGTCTACCTCCACATATATACAAGCTCTAGAGGAAAAGCTCCCCATAGGCCCCGTCCATTAAAACCTATAACCGCCTGAGTTCCGCCATGATGAAACGATTGCCAGCTTTTGTGTGGCGTCCACTCGCACTTGCAACTGAAGGATGCAATAACTCCTGGCATTTGCGTAGCTTCATGGCTCTCTTTTGCGTCGCAGTAAGATACTGTCACATAAAGACGAGTTGTTGTTGGCTCTAACAAAAAAACCCGGACGACGAGGCAACGAGGCGCCCAAGCAAGCCGGCGCCATCGACCGCACAGTGGCTCCCAAAGGAATGGTGGCGCCATCTAGTAAACAAACC